CAATGCATATATACGGTATTCTCTAATTCAACAAAGCGATGGAATGTGTTACTTGATTACATAGATGGTTTGACTTTGAAATCATTGTCAACTACACGTTGGGAAAGTCACATTGAAAGTGTCAAAGCAATAAAATCTCAAGCTTCCCAAATCAGAGAAGCTTTATTTAAATCAACAGAAATTAGTGAAGATGCCAAATTGAGTAGGGATGCTCAAAGTTTAGCATCAGGAGAGTTTTCAAGTTTTGAATTTATATTAAGTTTGGTTATTTGGCATGACATTTTGTTTAAGATTAACTTAGTTAGTAAAAAGTTACAATCTGAAGACATGCGTCTTGATGCGGCTGTAAGACAATTAGAAGGACTTGTTTTATTTTTTGAAAACTATAGAATAAATGGGTTTATTTCTGCCATGATTGATGCTAAAGAAATTTCCCTTGATATGGGAATTGAGCCTGTATTTCCAAAAAAACGTCAAGTTTGTAGAAAAAGGCATTTTGATGAGGTTTCCAATAGTGATAGGGAACAACAATCAGCTGAAGAATCATTTAGAACTGATTATTTTCTTGTTATAGTGGATATTGCTCTTGGTGAATTGAAGAGTAGGTTTGAACAATTGCGTTGTTTTGAATCTATTTTTGGGTTCTTATTTGATGCTGCAAAGTTGACTTCGTTTGATGATAATGAATTGAAAAGTTTTTGTGTGAATCTTGAAAATGATTTAAAACATGGTGATGTTTTTGATGTTGATGCAAGAGACTTATTTTCAGAATTACAGGTGTTGCAAGTGATGTTACCAAAAGAAGCATATGAAACAGATAAACCATGGACATCCATTAAAATTCTTGAGTTTGTAAAGAGTGTGGATATGTTTCCTAATGTAATGGTTTCTTATAGGATATTATTGACTATACCTGTGACCGTGGCATCTGCTGAAAGAAGTTTTTCTAAATTAAAATTATTGAAATCTTACTTGCGGACCACCGTGAGTCAAGATAGGCTAAATGGATTAGCAATATTATGCATTGAAAAGGATATGTTAGAAAACATTAAATATGATAGCATAATTGATGATTTTGCATCTAAAAGTGCATCAAGAAGACATTTTAAATGATGTTTTGTGGTTCAGATTTCATTGCTATTTTTATTTTGTAGGTACATGTGATGATTATTTGCTTCGATTAGTTGTGGAGGATGAAAAGAAGATTGATCAAATCAAGAAATGCTTACGGAGATTCGGGAGGAAGCATGTAGACTCAAATATGTAGTTTTCATTTTTTAATGCAATGTTTACAATCCGGGGTACTCTTTTTCCTTCGTTTGGGGTTTTGTCCCATTGGGTTTTCCCCAAACAAGGTTTTAATGAGGCCCCAAAGTGTTCTTCCTTATCTTTTGTAAATTCTTATAATTTTAATAAAATTAATTAGTTGATAATTTTTTTTTTGTTTAATTTGTATAAAGGGGCGCACTTGAAAAAATTTGCCCTGGGCCTTAGAAAACCCAGGACCGGCTCTGCTGATGATCCTTAAGGTTACACTCCACACATCAAAATGGTCCATGCCGTTAGCTTTTGTCAAATATTCTGTTAAATTGCTGACGTGGCACATGTGGGGAGCCCACACATCCAATGGTATAGAGTCACACAGCTTTAAATATAATATAATATATTTTTAATATTTTTAAAACTTAAAATCCGTAAAACAAATTTAAAAGAAACTTAAGTCTTTTATAAATAAAACTAAAAAAAACAAAAAGACTTGTACCATCCCTTCTGCGTTCTCCCTCTGCCAGTGCCTTCCCCTGATCGGTGCATATTTATATATCATTTTGTACCATTCTAACTTATGTTTTGATTATGTTTTTTAGTTAAACTTGTGCTTTTAATAAAATGCTTAATTTAAAGCTTTCGAGAGAGTTGCCAATGTCATAATCATAATTCCAAGGCTATTATAGTCAATGGACCACAATAACTCACGCGGTGGGGGATCAGCGTCACCATCTCAATCGACCAATTTTGACCACGCTCCAAACTCGTATGTCACCCATTGACGGTGGAAACGACGTCGTTTAGGAACTCACTTATTCGCGGAGTTTCCCAAAAAAACAAAGCTAGCTTTAAAACGTTAGTTTTATATTCGCACCAATTTTAAGCTTCTCTCTCTCCCCAACCTTCTTTTTCCTGGAATTGCAGTTGCTTCGTTGAAATAACGGAATCTCTCCTCAACCCATTGATCTTTTTAACGTCTTTATCTATTTTGCATTTGTATTTTCTTCCACTGTCAATGTTGTGCTCAAGTTCATCTGGAAATTGAACGTGTTTTGAGCTAGGGTTCATTTCTTGTCTGAAACAAAACAAGATTGTTGTTAATTTGTGAGTATATTCAACTTTACGAATCGTGGGGGTGATTTATTAATGGCGTCAAGTTTTGATCGGTGGGAGAAAGATCCATTTTTCTCGGCGGCCGAGGAAGTTCAAGAATCCGCAGACAGGTAGCATTTCTAATTGCCCATTTATGTCTTCTCTAGGGCTTCATTTTTAATCTTTTCATTTTCCCAATAAATTTTGAACTTTTCTTTGTTTTATTGCAACCTTGGTTTACATCTTGGATTTGGTAGCTTCCAGCTAATTTAAATCAACTTCCAGCGTTAGGAAGCTTTCAGCAGATTCGTTTTTTGCCCCAATTAATCCAAAATTTTCCGAATATTATGTTCATATTCCTCTCTTTTTTCCCTGCATTTCTTCAACATTTGCAATTTGTGCAAGTGCTCATTGAGTTAATAGTGTTTATCTGCAACCTGTTTGCTGGGAAAGACAAAATTAGGGTTTTTCTTTCTGCACTTATTTTTCGCGATGAAAGGTGCATTGAATGCTGGGAATGATATTCAGTTTGGTTTTGGTTGTTGTCATTGATTTGTTAATTTAATGTTTATGTGGTTGTGAAGGATGGAATCTACATATAGAACATGGATTCATGCAAAGAAAGACACTTCCAGTATGTGGGATCCCGAGGAACTTCACAGGGATCTCCGTACAACCCTTGGAACTACCAAATGGCAGGTCCTCTTCTCTCTCTCTTGGCTATTGGTGTGGACATTTAGGCAGAGCAAACCTTATTAATCGGTGTTATGCCCGTATTAGTGTAGTGAATAATTGATTAAATTCTGTGTTGGCAATGCAGTTAGAGGAGTTTGCGCGAGCTGTCAAGTCAAGTTATGCTAGAAGCTCATGTGAAGATGCAAGAGACAGGCACCATGAATTCATTGTTGCCATTGAGGACCAGATTTCCAAAATTGAAAACTCATTACGGGAAGCTGCCCTTTCTGAAGGCAAGGCTTCTCAGCCTTGGGTGCGTTTGGATGAAGGGGAGTGCAATGAGCTTGCATTTTTTCTTTCCGGACCATCTGCATCTAAAGAGAGAGTTATTGCTTTGAGTAACGACAGGGATGGTGAAAACCTACGAGGGACAGATAAAGAATCAGCACCAGGTTGTTCGAAGAATTCATGTGGTTCAGCCGAGTGGGGTTCCCAGAAGACGAGGGAGGAGAAGCCACATGGGCATAGGAGGACAGCTAGTGCTAGTGCTGACATTGGTGTTTGGAAGATTGCAGTTTTTGACGATGCATACTTACCAAGTTCTTCTGCGATGATGGTTGAGCAACCTGTACGAAAGATTCCCAGTTTCTCTGGGTTTATTAGTTCCATGGAAACCGCATCAAAGTTGAAGTGGTCAAAGAATGGTTTTAGGAAGTGGAAGGCAGTGGACCGTCATGAAGATGCTGATGCTGCATTGTTGCCATCTTCTCAGTTGTCTAGGGTATGCATGCTTTAGTCCTTTGATTTAATTTACTACTGGAACTTTATATTTGTTGTTGTTGTGTTACTAATGATTAAAATTCTGGTTTTCCATTTAGGGCATCAATGCTTGTTATGAAAAAAGTAAGAGTTGTTTGGATAGTTGCGATGACTGTTATGATAAACCATTGTATGGCTGGTACGGAGCTATTCAGAGACAACTTCAAAGGTCTCAGTACTACGTGCAATATAGTTGGCCTGCTCGTGTAGCTTTTTGGATTGCTCTTCTTGTTTGCTTGATTGGTAAGCTTCTCTGAACCCTATGTGGTTTTGTTTGCTAATTCATCTATTAAGTGCATATTCTTAATAATTTTTATGTGAAATACAACAGAATCTTTCTTTTCTATCATTTCCCTTTAAGTAACTGATATCTTTGTATTCATGAGTTTGTTCTTTTCGTTCCTTGCAGTTTTAATTGCATTGCGTGCTATCTGAGCCGTGGCCCGTGTCCACAGTTTTTGGTAACTCATGACAGCGCGAGGAGAAAGCCAAGCTGTCAATTGTTGGACATAGGGGTGGAATATTGTGTTCAAAAGATTACAATATTATTTGCACACATTGTTGAAGCGTCTAGCGGTGAACACAACCTACAACCTTCAAAGAATTTCCCTTTTGTTTTGTTATTCAATTTTGACATCCCTGAAGGAGGGTAAATTCTGTTGTATTATAGAACAAAAATTTCAGATAAGCTGGAACGGGGTTGTAAGCTGGAAGATTTTGCTAATGCATCCTGTAATATAAATTTTTTTTTCTCGCTCGTGTAGCTACTCCTTATGTACTGGTACTATTTGTGTAGTATATAAAAATTTAGATTTCTTATCCTTGCTTTTCAATCTGACCAACAAACAGTTGTAGAAGGTAGAAGAAATATTCTGCCTACGTTTTTGAGACCGTAAATAAATTTTCATTTCAATCCTCAATGTTTGTACAATTTCTCTCAAAATATATTCTAGAAACTCGAAGGACAGCATACATCAAAACAATCTCCACCTTTCTCTACACGACATACAGCCGAAATGCTTTAAATACACACAAGTTTATTGTCTTGGATCATATTGTGCTGAAACTGAAAGCTATCGCGAAGCACGATTGTCCTGGTGGTTTTTCTGTAAAGCAAAACCATCAAGATCCTTCTTGCCGAAGTCTAGGCCCTGGAATGTGACCCCAGATGAATGATACTGACTACCAAAGGCGGTGCCAAATCCCCATCCAAGACCTAGACCAACCCCACAACCTCCACCTTGAAAACAAAATGCCATGTTAATGATATACGCACCATGGTGTACTTGAATGCATTCCGAAAACATAAACTAGAAATTCCAGTTGGACTAAAAGGTAAGGGGTATACCTGCACCAAGGCCCAAGAAATTCAACGGTGTGCCTGTAGCAAAAACAAAATTGTAAATTAGCAAACAAGGGTTATATACATTACAGCAGGACGAATAACAAAGGTATTAAGAAAATAAGTTTATATGCACAAGCACAAGAATTACTTAATGTGATAATCCAATGTCCCAACAAATAATATGTATAGTAATAGCATAAGTTAATTGATGCTTAAATGCAGCCTCAATCTTTGAGAAACTTAAACCAGTTCAATACTTTCCATTGAATATGAGGAAGTAATTAGTGAAGCAATTATTTGGTCCAAACGCATGACAGCATTCACAAGGAACCTAAATTTTGGCCAAGCAGAATAAGAGAAAAACCAAGGCATTTTTGCACTGGTGGGGCAAAGAAAGAAAAATAGAGGGGGGGCCGGGGGGTCGGATTGGGAGATCTTGTTTCCAGTTGCAAAAAACATGTCTAAGCACACCAAACTCTTCCGGCATACCCTCCTGGTACACATACATTAAGTTGTAAGTTGTAACCAAGCATTAATATATAAAAATGATGAGAAAGGACGCAGGACGGGCCATCAGTTGATCATCTCACTACTTTTGAGATTCCTAAACAGGATTAGCCTGTCTTCAATTGAGATATTGACACTGTTGAACTTTCTAACTCTGGTCTAACAAGAATAGCCGATTCCTACTATTCCTTTAAGTAGAGGATGAACCTAAGGAAAGATGGGATCATACGACCCAGGCATCGTCAGCTTTTAATCCTTTCATGAGATGACATATCACAACTTTCCATTCCTTAAAGATAGGACAGAGAACCCAACCCCTTCTATCTACCAATAAATAACCACAAGAACACAAGATTCACCAAGATGATAAGGTGATCCTGATAAGATAACTATAAACCACTGGTAAGTGATAGAGGGATGATTTAACATTCTTCTCATTCTATTTTTTTCAATACACCTAATATGTTAATGGGTTTGCGATAGACATAACCACTTTGAAACCATTTGGCTAGTGGCTGCCCAATCTGCAGCTAGATGATATGTTGTAACATTCTTTCATTGCACAATCTAAAGAAATGCCTAATGAATCTAAACCCTACAATGAAATTGAACACCGAACTGTGTGAGAATCTTCTGAATAACTATGACTGCTCCGAATTTTAGCTACATGAAAGTGTTGAATGGACCGAAAGTAGGCAATAATAATCTCTTCCTTCCTGATCAGATAAGCCCGAGTGTGAAACTAGCCAATTGTTTAAAGTTTAAATAATTTCAGGCAAATAAAACATGAAATCAACAGGAAAGTGAAAGCGAGAAAAAAATAATGGAGGCGGAGGAACAAACCTCCGAAACCCCATCCAACGCCAAACCCGCAACCAATACCGAATCCTGAAGAAAAACGACTGAGTTGGTCATAATAAGCTCACGGGATACATAAAAATCAGAACCCACAAAACAAAGCTTTTTGAAATCATACCAAATCCAACGCCAGCTCCATTGAAGTTGGTAAGCACCATTGCAGCTACCTACAACGACTGGAATGCGGTGTGCTCCTCAGTTCAGTCTCCCCTTCTTTTTTTTCTTTTTTCTTTTTGTTTTTCGGTAAAAACTAAAAAGTCTCTCTCCCCTCATCTTTATCTGAACTTGGGAAATACCTGTGGCCCATGGGCAAGCCGTCCCATGTCTCCCAACTAGGCCCATTGCTAGGCTTGGGCCACCGCTCAAAGAAAAACTTGAAATTATTACAGATTTGAAGGACAGCCGCCTGCAAACCCTAAACTAGTAAAGAATGCATTGGCATGATTATTTAATAATAGTCCCGATCTCTTGGACTACAGGGATACAAGAGATTTGTGGTCGCTCACCGTAGGATGTAAATTCAACGGTTCACTCACCCTTGTATTTAATAAATATTGTAGATTCGCATAACTTGTTATTTAAAATGGAATTATTTTTTCAGGCAAAGATATCATATGACAAAGGATCCAACCAAATTAATCCCATTTTATATTCCATCAAGCAAACGCATGTCATGGGTGACGCTGGCGGTTGCTGCTGTAACCTTTTAAACTTGAAACAGAAGAGCAAAGCTTCCACTCCAAAATGAGCTGGTGGTGGGCTGGAGCTATTGGCCCAAGCCTAGCAAACCCTAAACTAGTAAAGAATGCATTTGCATGATTATTTAATAAATATTGTAGATTTTCATGATTCGCATAACGTGTTATTTAACTAGAATTATTTTTTCAGGCAAAGATATCATATGACAAAGGATCCAACCAAATTAATCCCATTTTATATTCTATCAAGCAAACGCATGTCATGGGTGACGCTGGCGGTTGCTGCTGTAACCTTTTAAACTTGAAACAGAAGAGCAAAGCTTCCACTCCAAAATGAGCTGGTGGTGGGCTGGAGCTATTGGCCCAAGCCTAGCAAACCCTAAACTAGTAAAGAATGCATTTGCATGATTATTTAATAATAATCCCGATCTCTTGGACTACAGGGATACAAGAAATTTGTGGTCGCTCATCGTAGGATGTAAATTCAACGGTTCACTCACCCTTGTATTTAATAAATATTGTAGATTCGCATAACGTGTTATTTAAAATGGAATTATTTTTTCAGGCAAAGATATCATACGACAAAGGATCCAACCAAATTAATCCCATTTTGTATTCCATCAAGCAAACGCATGTCATGGGTGACGCTGGCGGTTGCTGCTGTAACCTTTTAAACTTGAAACAGAAGAGCAAAGCTTCCACTCCAAAATGAGCTGGTGGTGGGCTGGAGCTATTGGCGCTGCCAAGGCAAAACCTTTTACCCACTTAATTACTTCTTCTTTTTAAAATCTTATTTACTGCGATTAACATTAATTTCTTTTGCAGAAAAAGCATGAGGATGATGATCATGAAGCGCCAAGAAGCTTCAAAAGCGTGGGATTGGTGATTGGCGTGACCGGCCTAGTGGGCAACAGCCTTGCCGAAATCCTCCCCCTCCATGACACGCCCGGAGGTCCCTGGAAGGTCTACGGTGTCGCACCCCGTCCACGCCCAGATTGGAGCGTTGACCACCCCGTTGAATACATCCAATGCGACATCTCCGACCCAATCGACGCCCAAACCAAGCTCTCCCAATTGACCGACGTCACCGACATCTTCTACGTCACCTGGACCAGTCGCTCCACCGAGGCCGACAACTGCGAGGCCAACGGCGCCCTACTGCGCAACGTCTTGAGCTCCGTGATTCCAAATGCGCCAAATCTCCGCCACGTGTGCCTCCAGACCGGCACCAAACACTACGATGGACCTTTCGAGGCGTACGGCAAGGTGGCTCCCCATGACACGCCGTCTACGGAGGATTTGCCCCGATTGAATGTACCGCTTTTTTATTACAACCTCGAGGATGTGTTGTTCGAAGAGGTGGAGAAGAAAGAGGGCTTGACCTGGTCCGTACACCGACCCGGACTTATTTTCGGGTTTTCGCCTTATAGCATGCTGAGCATTGTGAGCATGCTTTGCGCGTACGCTGCTATATGCAAGCAGGAGGGGTTGGCGTTGAGATTTCCGGGTAGCAAAGCGGGTTGGGATTCGTATTCGGAGGCTTCAGACGCGGATCTGATAGCGGAGCAGCAAATATGGGCGGCGGTGGACCCGTATGCCAAAAACGAAGCGTTTAATATCAACAATGGGGACGTGTTTAAGTGGAAGCAGTTGTGGAAGGTGTTGGCGGAGGAATGGGACGTGTTTAAGTGGAAGCAGTTGTGGAAGGTGTTGGCGGAGGAATTTGAGATTGAGGAGTATGGGTTTGATGAGGGGTTTAGCTTGGTGGAGATGATGAGGGACAAAGGTGGAGTGTGGGAAGAGATTGTGGGGGAAAATCAGCTGCGACACACAAAGTTGGAGGAGTTGGGGCTGTGGGAGGTTGTGGAGGTTGTATTGGGCGGGGGAGCTGAGTTGTCTAGCATGAACAAGAATAAAGAGCACGGGTTTTGCGGGTTTAGAAACTCCAGGAATTCCCTTGTTTATTGGATTGATAAAATGAAAGCTCACAAGATTGTACCATGATTGAATTCATAATGTTGAATTTTGATTGGAAATGTTTGGTTGCTGTGTGATTGTGACTTGTAAGTTTAATGTTGGTATGACTTTTTGGTGTAAATATGTGAATATGGACATGTTGATTGAGTTTTTGTCACTTAGGACACAACAATGACAACTCAACAAGCAAAGAAAGAGAAAATAAGGGTAGAGGTTAAAATGCTCATATAAACTCATTCTTCATCGTGTTACGAATAGTTATTGTAATAAGTTTCATAATATGAAATTAGAGTCGTATTATTTGTAAAATAGTGAGTTTCATTTAATTAAATCTTTCTCTTATAAAGACAAATCAATGATAAAGACTAAAATTGAAGACTTAGGGCCAAATACTTTTACCCTTACTTAATATGCGTATTGGGGACGGGAGCGACTTTGGCACCACCTAATACGAAAGATTGTAGATATCCATATGCATATTTTAATTATCTATTTCACCTTACAATGACACGTAGATGATAAAGGCTCCAGATCAGCGAATAATACTAATGACATGGCCCGCGCGAAAAGACAATTTTACCCGAATGCCCAGTAGGTAATAGATGAACTCGTATCGAAGCACAGTCGAGAGAATGTGATAGAAAATTCAACTATTTTTTGTGAAATTTGATATGCGTATTGGGGACGGGAGCGACTTTGGCACCACCTAATACAAAAAGATTGTAGATATCCATATGCATATTTAATTATCTATTTCACCTTATAATGACACGTAGATGATAAAGGCTCCAGATCAGCGGGTAATACTAATGACATGGCCCGCGCGAAAAGACAATTTTACCCGAATTGCCATTGGGTTATAGATGAACTTGCATCGAAGCACAGTTGAGAGAATATGGAAGAAATTTCAGCTATTTTTTTGTGAAATTTGATTAATAATTTAAGAGACTGACAGGTACGCTCAGATTCAATCTCAGCTTATCTACTGGTCTTTCTCCGCCCTCCCAATCCAAACTCCATACTCCCAATTTCTCCAATCAATTTCCCTCATCTTCATTTCTTCCTTCTTCTCTCCCAACTTTACCCAAAATCATGAGCTGGTGGTGGGCTGGAGCTGTTGGCGCTGCCAAGGCAATTTTCTAATTAGATTCACATAAATTACTCCCCTTTCTTCTTCTTTTTCTGCGTAATTAACATTTTATTCCTGAATTTTGCAGAAAAAATTTGACGAAGACGAAGCACCGCGAAGCCCCCAGAGCGTAGGTCTCGTGATCGGCGTCACCGGCATAGTCGGCAACAGCCTCGCCGAAATCCTCCCGCTCTCCGACACCCCCGGCGGTCCATGGAAGGTCTACGGCGTCGCACGTCGTCCCCGTCCGAACTGGAACGCCGACCACCCTGTCGAGTACATCCAGTGCGACATCTCCGATGCCGACGACGCCAAGGCCAAGCTTTCTCCGTTATCCGACGTCACCCACATCTTCTACGTGACCTGGACCAACCGATCCACCGAGGCCGAGAACTGCGAGGCTAACGGCGCTATGTTCCGCAACGTCTTGAATTCCGTCATCCCAAACGCGCCCAATCTCCGCCACTTGTGCCTCCAGACCGGGGCCAAGCACTACGTCGGGCCGTTCGAGGCTTTCGGGAAGATCCAGCCCCACGAGCCGCCCTTCACGGAGGACCTGCCCCGACTGGACTACCCGAATTTCTACTACACCTTGGAAGATTTGTTGCTTGCTGAGGTGGAGAAGAAGGAGGACTTGACTTGGTCCGTCCACCGACCCGATGCGATTTTTGGGTTCTCTCCGTACAGCATGATGAACGTCGTCGGCACGCTCTGCGTGTACGCCGCCATCTGCAAGCACGAGAGAGTGCCGTTAAAGTTCCCGGGAAGCAAAGCGGCGTGGAACTGCTACTCGGTGGCTTCGGATGCGGATCTGATAGCGGAGCAGCACATATGGGCGGCGGTGGACCCGTATGCCAAAAACGAAGCATTTAACATAAACAATGGGGATGTGTTTAAGTGGAAGCATTTCTGGAAGGTGTTGGCTGAGCAGTTTGGGATTGAGGAGTATGGGATTGATGAGGAGGAGGGGGCGAAGCTGAGCTTGGTGGAGCTGATGAAGGGGAAAGAGAGAGTGTGGGAGGAGATAGTGAAGGAGAATCAGCTGCAGCCCACAAGGTTGGAGGAGGTTGGGGTGTGGTGGTTTGTGGATGTTTGGTTGAGTGGGGAGGGATTGTTGTGTAGTATGAACAAGAGCAAGGAGCATGGGTTTGTGGGTTTTAGAAACTCCAGGAATTCATTTGTCACTTGGATTGATAAAATGAAGGCTTTCAAGATTGTGCCTTGATCTTGGATTGGGGTTTGAGGATGTTGTGATGGTGTTTTTTTGGGGTTTGGAAAATATGTTTGTTGTGGTTTGCTTCTTCTTGTTCTGCATGAATTCTAAAATAATCGGTAGCAGATACTTGTGGTTGTTTTTGAAGTATCAGAGATTAATGTACCAGTGATGGTGGATGAAATGTGACATATTTTCTGCTTTAAACAGCTTCCATTTTTACCAAATACAAGTATAGGACAAATATTTGCAGGGCAACAAAACATTTCAGCTGAGCCAGCAAGTCTTTTCTTTTAACTAAATTATGAATCTTTAAGCTTTCATCTTTTCAATCCAGGAAATGAATGGCTTTGAAATTCCTAAATCCCAAAGTAATCATGCTCCCTCATTGCTTTAGGGGAGCATTTTTGCTCACCACTTTAACCATAGGTGTACCCTCACCATCATCCTCAATGCTTGACACGTGTCTATAGGTATAATCATGATTCCATAAATACAAAGCAAAAGTTAACTATGGTTATGTCTATGGACATGTGTCAAATATTGAGGATGGTGGTGAAGATACACCTATGATTAAAGTGGTGAGCAAAAATGCTCCCCTAAAGCAAGGAGTGAGCATGATTACTTTGGGATTTAGGAATTTCAAAGCCATTCATTTCCTGGATTGAAAAGATGAAAGCTTAAAGATTCATAATTTAGTTAAAAGAAAAGACTTGCTGGCTCAGCTGAAATGTTTTGTTGCCCTGCAAATATTTGTCCTATACTTGTATTTGGTAAAAATGGAAGCTGTTTAAAGCAGAAAATATGTCACATTTCATCCACCATCACTGGTACATTAATCTCTGATACTTCAAAAACAACCACAAGTATCTGCTACCGATTATTTTAGAATTCATGCAGAACAAGAAGAAGCAAACCACAACAAACATATTTTCCAAACCCCAAAAAAACACCATCACAACATCCTCAAACCCCAATCCAAGATCAAGGCACAATCTTGAAAGCCTTCATTTTATCAATCCAAGTGACAAATGAATTCCTGGAGTTTCTAAAACCCACAAACCCATGCTCCTTGCTCTTGTTCATACTACACAACAATCCCTCCCCACTCAACCAAACATCCACAAACCACCACACCCCAACCTCCTCCAACCTTGTGGGCTGCAGCTGATTCTCCTTCACTATCTCCTCCCACACTCTCTCTTTCCCCTTCATCAGCTCCACCAAGCTCAGCTTCGCCCCCTCCTCCTCATCAATCCCATACTCCTCAATCCCAAACTGCTCAGCCAACACCTTCCAGAAATGCTTCCACTTAAACACATCCCCATTGTTTATGTTAAATGCTTCGTTTTTGGCATACGGGTCCACCGCCGCCCATATGTGCTGCTCCGCTATCAGATCCGCATCCGAAGCCACCGAGTAGCAGTTCCACGCCGCTTTGCTTCCCGGGAACTTTAACGGCACTCTCTCGTGCTTGCAGATGGCGGCGTACACGCAGAGCGTGCCGACGACGTTCATCATGCTGTACGGAGAGAACCCAAAAATCGCATCGGGTCGGTGGACGGACCAAGTCAAGTCCTCCTTCTTCTCCACCTCAGCAAGCAACAAATCTTCCAAGGTGTAGTAGAAATTCGGGTAGTCCAGTCGGGGCAGGTCCTCCGTGAAGGGCGGCTCGTGGGGCTGGATCTTCCCGAAAGCCTCGAACGGCCCGACGTAGTGCTTGGCCCCGGTCTGGAGGCACAAGTGGCGGAGATTGGGCGCGTTTGGGATGACGGAATTCAAGACGTTGCGGAACATAGCGCCGTTAGCCTCGCAGTTCTCGGCCTCGGTGGATCGGTTGGTCCAGGTCACGTAGAAGATGTGGGTGACGTCGGATAACGGAGAAAGCTTGGCCTTGGCGTCGTCGGCATCGGAGATGTCGCACTGGATGTACTCGACAGGGTGGTCGGCGTTCCAGTTCGGTGGTAAGTAACCAAAATTCTAATATAATAAGAAACCAAAATCCGAACTAAGTAAGGACTCGCCAACATGCTAATGAATAGGAGATAAGCTTCATCATTGAAACTATATGAAAAATAAGAAATTAAATCTATGGTGTTGACACTGTTGAGTAATAGAGATTGTGGGAACTTGGAAGCGAGAATTGAGATACTACAGAGAACTGAGGAGAGGGAAGAAAGCAAGGAGAGGGGGAACTTTGAGAAAACGTCAACAATAATGTCAACTTACAAATATATATATCATAATATTTAAAGATATTTCAAAAAAAAAAACTAACTTTTATGTTATGATTCACGTGTCATGTTTTAAGTCATCGGATTGTTGTAATGGCCAATATGAGGCGAAATGCGGATAAATGCGTGGAGTCTAAATGTAGAGACTCGGAATTCGGTGGGGAAATAGGACATTGGGTGGAAATTAGTAGCACTCTTCATAAATGATGAAATTTAAAATGACGGAAATTAAAGTTTTAGAATTTGTAAAGTTTCATGTTTGGATAACGGATTTAAATACGGAATTCAACCTTTATTTGTAAAGTATTTCTCTTGAAATTTTAGAAATGATGACTTTTTAGATAGAATTTAAAGTTAGGATTTATGATCTCCAAATTTTATATTTTTTACTACGTGGAATTTCTAAATTTCTATGTTTTTTTTATCCAAACACGGGAATTGGTTCATGTCAATTTAGAAATTACGACTTTGGTCAAAATTCCAAGTATATTTCCCTCATCCAAAAGCACCGTTACTTTTTAAAACGTTTCTAGTTACAGTAAAGGATAATGCTTGGCTCATGATATATTAGGAACTGTTCCTCCTCCACATACAACGTGGCCTATTTACAAAAAGACACATGTTTTTTTTTCTTTCTTTAAACTCTTTTAACCCAAGTCCCGGTTTTAATTCAGGTCACCCTCTTTCTCTTAGGAAGGCCTTTTCTTTTGACAACCACCTAACTCCGATCACCTACAACCTAAACCTCCGACTATCGGCCACGTAAATCTCTAAGCACTGACAACCGTAAATCTCCGACGAACTTCTCCTACTATTTGATTAATTCTTTTGGGATGGTTAGTCTAACAACAATATTTCCCTTTCTTAATTTCTCTTTTATTTTTGGAATTTTAGTTTTCATAATTTCTATACATGGCAGATTCTTCATATTGTGGGGTTGTTTTTTTAACCATTTCTGATGAATGGGTTTCTTATGTTTATATGGTATATCAAAGTAGTCTACTTGTAATGAACTTATGTTGATAAATATATAAAAACATCTATTTGATTTGTAATATAATATTCTCTTTTCTCCTTTAAGCTAACTAGGTTTTTAATTTTGGTGAAATAAATGATTATAAGTTGCAGCCAACCTTTTGAAGAAATGTCTAAACCAAGTTGTGATCTTTTTTGTTTTTGTTTTTGTGGTTTCTATTTTCTTAAATGATTTTAGTTTCTAAATATGGTCAAATGGTTCTAATTGGTAGTGGCAATAAGCAAAGGTCTAGGAGTTTAACGTAGTTGGAGTTTGCTGTTGAGGAGGCTAGCCAACAAAGCTTGAGTTAGAGAGTTGAAAGAAAAAAACAAAACAAAACAAAAAAGAAAATGAAAAAAGAAAACATGTGTCTTTTTGTAAAGAGGCCATGTTGTATGTGGAGGAGGAACGGTCCTATAGTAAATTGACAAAATTTCTCTCCAAGAAATATCCAGTTAATGGAAACTTTAACGAAATTGCAACATTAAAACTTTAGGTGATATTAAACAGAAAATCTATCAAAAAGTAGATGGCAACGGCCATTCCACTCTCCTGCTCTATTTCTATTTGAGATTTTCTATTTAAACCCCACACTTCTCTTAGTTCACCCCATCTTTTAATTTAAATTTTCACAATTTCTAAGAAAATCCCACTATCTTTCCAAACTACCCTTAAATACACTCCAAATTGAAAAAATAAAAATAAAAATAAAAGAGGTTTTCTATTTAAACCCCACAATTTTCTTTGTTCCCAGCAGAAAAAAAACACAAACAAATGGAACCCCAAACCCGAAATTTAATAAATAAATAAAAGAGGTTTTCTATTTAAACCCCACAATTTTCTTTGTTCCCAGCAGAAAAAAAACACAAACAAATGGAACCCCAAACCCAAAATTTAATACTTTCTAGAGAAAGAGAACAACTTTACCTCTCTCCAAGTAGAGCAGTTTGTCATGATCTGATCCAATTTATACTTTACCTCTGTCCTGATCCAATTTAAATAGGATGTAGAGGAGTTTGTATTTTTCTAAAACTTAATTAATATGAAGAGTGGTGGGGTGTGTGGGGTGTGTGTATAGATGTACTAGAGTTAATTATTAAGTTGGATGACCTTTTTTGTCTT